AAGTCCCAGAGGATAAAATATTGTTGGACTTCATCAAAATAGAATAAATATTTATAATTAATTTCTTATTTTTTTACTTGCATCAAAATAAAATAAATATTTATAATTAATTTCTAATTCCCAGTGGAGAAAATATTTTTGCACTTGCATCAAAATAAAACAAATATTTATAATTAATTTTTATAATTCCCAGTGGAGAAAATTTTTTTGGACTTGCATCAAAAATAAAATGTTTGGTTGCGGTCCCTGATATTTCAAGCTAATAATAACTGACATGTATTAAGATTATTAGCAGACAGCTATATAAACACTCGCCAGCACACGTCTTATTTATTAAAGCTCTCGATCAAGTAATATTCCCCTCGAAAAGTGTGCGAGACAAGCAGCATTTATGCGTGTCAGGCTCTTTGCACTTATTTGCTAATAGCTTATTAAGACAAGTTAATAAGTGAGTGTGAGATGAGAAGAGCGGCTGACAGGGTTTTCTGACGAATTCCAAGCCAAACCAGATATGGCAAAATGATAATATTCGCTTAAGAAGAGAATCTAAACTTTAGATTCTAAAGAAAACTTTTATGAATTGCTCAAAAAAAAACACAAATATGTTAGAACTTAATGAAGCTCTTTTTTGTCATTAAACAAAACAACTTTCTAAACAAATTTTACTTTTAATATCAAACAAAACATTCAAAATTAAATATTTTTTATGGAAATCCATAAATTTGGCGGGCCAATATTATAATCATATATTATTTATAAGCATATGTTTCACTTCATACAGTATGTGTAGAGCATGTTAAGTGCTTCATAAAAAGTGTTAACAAACACTAATATTTTTATATATAAAACAAACAAACAAACAAGAAACTAAGTAATCAGCTAAAGCTTAAGAATGTTGTCCAAATCTTCATTCATATGTTTGTTTCAAATGTTTGTCCACAAATTATTAAATATTAAATATTACATATATTATTAAATATATAAATTACAATATTATTAAATATAAACAAAATATTATATATGTATTTTGCAATTACAGAATTTGCTAATTCCCTATCTGCCATTTAGAAATGGAGAGCATTCAGTGTTCCACAATTATTTAAGTGGCACAAAAATGTTTTACAAACAAAATTTAATTTATTGTCTGGCTGACGATTTGGGTCCACTGTGCCGTGCGGAGAAAAGCAAAACAAACCAAGGGTCAAAGAACGTCGACGAACGACAACCAAAGCAAAAATGCAAGGCCAGTGGTATTTGGGTTTTTTTCTCCTGTTTCTGTGAGTATGTGTCAGGCGTCTAATCCTTACACACACTTATGTGCAGTGTGAAAGATAGCACGCTCACACACAGAAGCGCACGCACACTCGCACATGTTGTCACATACACTTACACACACACTTGAGCGTGTCCACATTCATTTAGCATAAATCAAATGCCTGCAGTCGTTTGTGTGAGCGTTTTTGCTTTCGCTCCTTAGTCGAAGCGAGACTCTCGGAGCGTACCTCTTACTCGCTCGTGTTAATTAGTATTTAATCTATGAACCATAAATAAATCCATGCAGGAGCAGAAGAAGAGCAAAGATTTCCTTTAACGACACTCACACTGAATGCGTGCTTGCTGCTTTCCTTTTCTGTTATTTGCTTTTGCCATATGAGTGGACTTTGTCGTCAGTTTTGCGTTGTTGCAGGCTCAGTAGCTTTTATGTGGCACACTGCGTATGCTTAATGCAGAGCCAAGTTCTAACAGCAACCACATCGACGCCTTCTCTGGCGCCCATGTTAATAAATTGGCAATTGTGTTGCCTGTCGCCTCAAAGTTAAGTCAACTAATTGCAACATTTATGTTAGAACGCTACTTCTTGGCTGCCACCAATTTTCTGCGATGTTTGTGTGACATGTGTGTGCGCGCGTGTGTGTGTATGTTTTTCCATGTATGTGTGCTTTTGCGTTCTTTGCTCACTCGCCGGCGTCAGTGCGAAAAGTGTCAATAAAACATTTTAATTGATTGCGCGCTAAGCTGTTGCCAAACACTTTGTGAACTGCCCCCACCTCCTCCCCCCCAGACCCATGCGCTTGTTAACACATGACATGTCAAGCCCAGCCAGCGCTCGGCTGCTATAAAAGTATATGTTGGGGGTGGCCTGTGTGTGTGTGTGTGTTTGACTGTGTGTGTCTGTGTTTGTGCGCTAAACTAATGCGTACATTTGCATTGCAAATTGCGCATTTTAAAGAGCGACAATTACAGGAATGACGACGATGACGACTGCGTTGGAGTTGGAAAGGAGCTGCTCGCACTGCGCAGTGTTGGCAAACGTACAAATTGTTAACGCACCACTCACCCCAACACCCGATCTAGACTATACTCGTACCCTGCTCTGTCTTTAAAAGCAATTAGCGCTTAGCGTGCGCAACTTTTATTTCAGCAGTTGTCAGCGTCTGGATAAACTTTAAGCAACTGTAGAGGAAACATAAAAGAAAACAGTGAAACATACCTACATTGGACGCCTTTGGTTAAAGAATTTGGTTTAGTTTAAAACGTTTTTATGAAATTAATTAAATATTGAATAAAATGTTTTATATATTGAGGCTGTTACCGTAAGTAAATTGAAAACTTGGCTTAAAATTTATAACAAATAATTACTTAAGCAATAAGTATTCGATTTGCGGACTTTTTTCAAATTTTACTTTCCCATAACAAATATATAATCAAAATTTTATTAAAATTATAATAAATAAAATAAAATATTAAATAAAATGTTTTATATATTGAGGATGTTAACTTTAAAAAAATAGAAAACTTGGCTTCAAATTTATAACAAAGAATTTTTTTGTTTACGTATTCGATTTTACATTTTTTAAATTTATAACAAATATATAATTAAAATTTTACTAAAATTATATTTATAGAACCGGCGAAGAAAATTCCCCCAACGTAACGGAGGCATTAATAGACGCTATTGTACAGCTTTTTCTTAGACTTTTTTATCTTTTAAGTTTAAATTAAAATGTTTTTTTAAATCATATCTTCATTTTAATTTTCATATTATAAAATATATAAAATGTTAATATATATTGTAATAATTATAATAGAATGTATCGACGGAACTACTTGTTGATTTACTAAATAAAAAAATAAATAAGTAAATTAATAAATAAATAAAATAAAAACATACCCAATTGTATGGACTGTTTGTTTTTGTTTCCACATAACAAATAATTTATTAAAATAATATTTATGGTTCGATAAAAAACTATTCATTTGTCAGTCCAGATTTCCGTATACATCAGCTTATGATAACCAAAAAATTATAATTTTTGTTGAATTTGTAATTTTCGAAGTATTTTTCAAAACTAAATTGTTCATTAGACAATCCTAAATAATGGCGAGTTTCAAAAAATAAGCTTCAAAGTATCGACATGAGGTTTCAGGCTGTCTGTTCAAACAGGTTCTCTTTTGTTATAAAGGACAGTTGGTTGCAATAATTGACAAAATTCGCGAAGTTAACTACAACATGCCTTTTAGTCCGCAAAATGTTCCAATTAACGGAGTTCAGACACATATTGGTAATACTTAGGTTTGATGCTCAAATTTTCATTGCAAATCGTCAGATTAACTCGAACATCTGTCCATTTTTTGTTTCACTCTAGAAAATAAATTTTTAGCAAAGTTCGTGTACAAACATGAGACCGTCATGTATGCATATGGATTTCTGTCTGATTTTAAACACAAAATTAGTATGATTTGCATGCAATGGATTTAGATATACTCGTACACATCTATGTATGCATTTATAATCCCAGCATTTATTTGCACACACACACACTCAAATAAGTAGTTGGGATGCAATTTGCATTTGCATTTCAATTGCTCATTGATTTGCACTGCGTTTCTTTCATTTTGTTTAATGCATTTTCAATTTCCTGACTTGCTGTTTTAATTGTGTGTGCATTGCATTAAATGCGCTCGGCATTTAAATTAACGCAATGATGCATTTTTAATTCAAATTAAAAGCCATTGGCTTTGGTTTCGTTTCAAGCATCGTAATGCAATTGGATGCAGCTGATGCGAACGCAAAGCTGAGCAAAGATTGCTGCTTCGATTGCAATCGCTTACAGCAAAAGTCAATTAACGGGGGAGATGAGGGATGAGATGCGGAGAAAGAAAACCCCACTGAGAAATGGAGGGGTGAAGAAGAGCAAGACCTAGGGCAAGTCAAGTGAATGCAAATATTTCAAATTCGAGTAGAGCTGAGCGCAATTTAACTTAATTTAAGCAAAAGTTATATGCATAATGCATGAATAGTTAAAAATAAACGCTTACACTTTTTTTTTGTTCATGGCAATTAGATGAAAGGAAGAACAAATGAAAAAGCTGTACATTTGTGTTATGTGCAAAGAAAGCGATTTAACTTTCTAATTTCTGAATTTGTAATAAAACGAAATTGTTATAATTCTCCTTATTTTTCAGATTCGTTTTTATTCACGACATTTTAAGCTAATTACTTGTATTAGTTGAAAATGGCCATTTTTTCGGCCTAAATTTGTTAATTTTATAAATTTCTTCAGCTGCTTCCAATCTGGTAATATCTGATTTGCAATGCTATCAACAGAGATCATTTAAAATCATCCAATCACTTTAAAATAGTTTTAAAAGTAATACTATAAAAGTAATAATATTATTAGAATTTAATTCTGCATATTTTATGGAAATACATGTATATGTAATTAGCTTCTGAACAAACTAATAAGCTATTTCGCATTTACAAAAGTGCTTAACTATAAAGATTATTTATTTATTCTCTTCTAATCTTTGCTGGTGTTAGCAGGAATTAAAAAAAAATGGAGAACTCAAAATTGAAGACAAAGATTTTCTTTATTTTTCATCATTTTTTATTATTCATCATTTTAAGTTTTGAGAACTACTCATTCCCAGAAATCAACACAGTAGCCCTGAAAATATTGTAAGGTAACACGTATTAAGACTATTACTCTCTAAAATCCCTCCTCCAAATAAGTATATCAAAATAATACAAAATATACAAAGAAACTAAGCAGCAATACACAAAAAATGGATCATCCCCAGTTCGAGGAAGCTTTTCTGCGCCAACCATCCAAGATGAAGGAAGTTCTACTTATGCTCGAGCAAATGGCCACTGCCAACAAAATGGAGGAGTAAGTCACTGTTTAGTAAACCCCATTCACAGATATACTATATGTTTGCCTAAATGATATTCCAGTAATAAGAAGGAACGCAAGACGTCGTTAGAGATTGGTTTAGTGGACGATACCAGTTTTATAGTTTCGCGCCGTTCATCAAAGAGAATATCAAAGAGATTCCTTAAGGTCAAAAGTACAGTCAATAAAAACATGGAACAGTTTACGTTCATGCGTCAGATTGATGAAGATCTGCCAGAGCGCACCCAGGCCCGCATCGAACGGGAAGATGTGGCTCAAAATTTTCGACGGCAAGTATAGACAATGATTAATTTCTTTTTCACTTCAAAAATGTAGATCCTTTAACCCATTTGTATGTTTAAACTATTTTTAAATTTCTAGACTGGGCAATGATGAATACCGACATAACAACTATGACAACGCCATTATGTATTATAACAAAGGCTTGGAGTACATTAAAGATACGCCAGTGCTGTATGCAAACCGAGCCTTGTGCTATATTAAGTAAGTTGCAGTAACTAGTTCCACAGTTAAAAGTTTTCTATTTGAACTTTTGTAGACAACGCAACTATAAACTCGCCATTATGGATTGTGACTATGTTATTAATAAGTTGGATCCCCGTTGTCTCCGGGCCTGGCTATATAGAGCCGGTGCTTTTAAGCGATCCGGCGATGAGAAGGCCTTTGAAGAGAGCGTTTACCAGGCACGTAAGCTCAACTCTAAGGAGAAAGAGTTTATTGACAATTTTCTGGAGAAAATGCGCACAGATCTTTAAAAAAGTGCATCAAGTGCAATAAAAAATTTCAAGTATTTAATTGTTGACTTTTCAAGTTGGTTTTGGAGTTTAAAAGCAATATCGAAATGAAATTAAAAAAGTAAATGTAGTATTAATTAAAATTAATGCAAGCCCGGTAGGGCAAAAAAATGGAAATAAATTTGAAATTACCATCTCCACAGCAACTAAGGTTTTCAGACTTTTATTTCGACTTTTTTTAAGCTTAGTTGGCAGTAATTGTAAACTAGAATTCAATATGCCATTTAATCCACTATTTGTTATAATATTTATATCCACATTGCTTGAACTTTTGCAGAGTCCTCAGGCCAAAGAGTTTCAAGAAAACAGTAACAAGTAAAATATGATAAAATATGAAAATTAAAGGTGATCCTGAAATATTCTTCAAAATTCATAATGCATCGCAATCAAGTCTCTTTTGGAGGTAAATCAATATTCTTAGTCTCTGAGAAAAGAGAAGATTCAAGACAGCACCGAAGCTATGAGTGAACAAATTTGAAAAAATGTTAAAGCAAATCATCGTAAGGCATTTCATTTTGAAAGTCGCTTAAATCACTCCCCCGGTTTGAGCTCTCGTCTTTTTTATTGGCCATCAAATTAAGAGCTTTTTCCCACACTTTAGTGTGATCATGAACTCCTTTCCCCCACCTAACAGAAAAGAGTAAATGGCCATCGTGCAACCCTTTGAGTAGAATTATCGCCTTCAATGGCCTAGCCTCTGCTATTTTCTCATTTCCGTTGCATTATGGCCAAGTCGGCTTATCAGCCTCCTACATCCTACATCCTGCCTCCTGACCGCCATACACACAAACACACATGCAACACCTTTGCACTTTACACTTTCCAGTTGATTAGAGCATTTACTCCAACATTTTCTAATTAACTTGAAGCATTTCGCTCATAAAAGCAGCACTTGAGTCGCATTTTATTAGCCGGGCCGCAACATCGTCGTCGAAGCGTTCTAAGGCGCCAGGAAACATAAAAAAAAAACGGCACAGCCCTTTTTGCCAATGGGTAATTGATTTTTATGAGCAACTCGACCGCTAAGCCGCGTGCAGCCAAGGAAAGTCGCATTGAAAAATTAATTGAAAAGCATTGCTCAAATGTGCCATTTCCGTTTGCATGATGGAGGGCGTGCAACCGTTCTGCAGTGTCCGTTAAAAGGATACGAAATGGGTGGAAGGGACTGTGAAGGGGCTGTGGAGGCTTTTGCATAAATTCCTTTGCACTTAAAGTCAATTTCATAGCATGGATGAAAAATAAAACTGTCTAGCTGTTCTATTCTGTTCTATTCTGTACCGGCAACTGGCAACTGGCAACTGGCGACTCACAACTCGGTCTGCAGGCCATTAAGACAAATGTAGCCTTGTGACCCAAATGTGTGTTGGCCAACCGGCTGGTCAAAAGTCAGTCTTCTTGCAACAAATGCGCCTAATGCCATCCACACACAAAACACATTCATGGCCGGTCAAATGCAAGTTGGCTCTGTTTTTTTGCCATTTGCTGTTTCCTGCCTTTCCTTTTATACGTAATTGCCGGCTCTGCTGCTTGCACACAATTTGATTTTTTAATTAAATTTATTATTGCAAACAGCATAAAATTTTATGTGGTTAGTTCATTTCTGGGTCACACTGCTAATGACTCTTCGGCAGAGAGTCAGAACGCAGTCAAGACAACGTCGTGGACAGCAGGCACTCAAGTCCTGACCAGCTCTCTGACAGTAATCTGCAGCTAATGCCTTCTGCTCCTCCCAATCCTCTATCTTTGACTTGGGCTACGATTCTGATTGTGACTTTGGTTCGGACCCGGACTTGGATCTCGAACTCGGACTCGGACTGTGACTCGACCTCGAGCTTTTCCCACATTTCTGTGCGGTTGTTTATGAAATTATCTTTTGTGAAAATTGCATTTTTCATTTTGTGTCTTTGGATTTATGCAATTTGTGCTGTCGTAGAGAAAAGTGCAATATGTTGGCTCAAATAAAACGGCTTCTCAAGTATTTATGTAGTAGGTACGAATACCACACCAACCCATACACATATACATAAGTATAAAAGTTCTATGTGTTACGTGTATGTGCTTTTATATAGAAGAATATAGAATGCAAGTATTTGGTGTTGATTTTAGCAACAAATATTTATTTCCATTTCCCATTTCCCCACTGGCAGAAGAGCACTTCAGTGCTGGTGCCTTTGAAAGAGTTTTGAGGTTTCACAAATTGGCTGCTCGTCCATTTCAGGAGAGTGAAAATACATGCTGAAAAGAGCATGGCAAACAATTTAAGAAATACTAAGTAAACATATTCCTGAAAGCTTAGCAAAATACTCAGACTACACATTCTTGTTCGGGCTACATTTGAAAATAACAAATATTTTCATCATGCGTACGAATACAGATATTTGGGCATTTTTTTTAAATAAAATGGATAGTTATTCAAATATTAATAGGAGTAGTTGAATCAAAAGACACACTCAAAAAGGCAATTTGCTTCAAAAAAGCATTTATTTTTACTGGAGAATATACTTACTAAGTAACTGAGCACAATTGTTTCCTTTGACTCTGGCCCAATTAAAGCATTGATTTAATAAAGCCTTCATTACCTCCCAGTATGGACAGCAGCATGAGCCAGAAATCTGTATTTCCCCTACGGACCAGTTATTAAAAATAATAACTAAGATACCCATACCAAGTACAGAGAACGTAGCCTAATAAGGCGAAAAGGATTCAAATTCAAATCCGATAATTTTGTTATTTGTTACGAAAAAGAATATTTCTTCTTAGTGTTGTAATGGAAGGTTCATTCACCCATCAGGATTATTTTGCCAATCCGCTATCCTTAAATATTACAACTTCAGAACCTTTGCGAAAATGTTCAGAATGAAAAAATGGAATGGATTGACGGACTCTAAGTGATTTTCTTATCGATGACTGCACATAAAGCAAGTTACTAACCCACTTTTGTATATATAGTATATACATATTCTTTAAATTCGTATTGGTACATAAATAGTTCTGTAACGAAATAATATTATTCAACATTGAAAAAATGTAACAGGATATCATCTCTATTGAGCGAATTGGTTGGTAAATAGTTTCCCAACCTGATATGCGAAATCTGTCATTTGGGATTTCTATAAATTTTTGAAAGTTGAGCAAATTTTAAAAATACTTGTAAATAGCAAAAAACTAGCAAAAAATACATATACTTTTCGGCGCAGTCAATAAGCTTTAAATTAAAGTTGTACCATCTGGGGAGCAGCGCTATTTCGTAGCTTCCGGTTTCGGGTGGAAAAATGTGTGAAGGCAACAGGAAACGCATAACATACGATAGTGTTCACAATCCGCGCTACAATGACAAACGCAATGTAGGATGGGTAAGTCGTCTACAGAGCTATTGGTCCATATATGATAAGAATCGCTCACTATATATCATGCAAATAGTATCAGAACATGGAGTATATGAAGTACTGGCCTGGGGCCCGCTTTATGTATGTATTCAAGGGCGGCGACCTTAACAGTGCTGCTCACCTGTTGGCCGAGTCCATGAAGGAGCCTTTTCAAATGTTTCCCTTTGCCTCGGTGGCGGTTCAACAGTCGGTACGGGATGAGTTCATAGAGCGAGTGCGTTGCCGCTTTCGTCAACTGAAACCACATGTGGTGCTGCATCCGAACTTTGAGCGATCGGCCGACATACTCAGGAACGGCGACAAAAAGTACATAGTGGCCGACTGCAAGGATGCACCGCCCTTTGCCAGTCCCATCCTGGTGCCAAATGTGACGCACCTGCACTTTGGCAGTGGCGCCTCAGGCGTTGTCACCGTGCATTCCTTCAGGACCTTCAGAGAGGCGGCTAATATGTTTCTCAATGAGTCGCCCCCTTTCGAGGTCGTGCATGTTTTTGATGAAAAAGTCACCTCGGTTTATTCTATAGCTAAGCGAATTAGATGCGTCGAATTCTTTGTGAACTGCTCGGATGTGTGTTTGCTGCCCATCCTTCCCCATTTCGCCATGAAGAAGCCACGCACTGTCATATTCAATAACTACCACTTTGAGACTTTAAAATTGGGTGATCATTGGAGAATCATTGTGTTCCCCATTTCGAATAATATTTCACATCCCTGCTGTTGCGCGCAGTTTGGTAATTGCACGTGCTACCTAACCGGTGGGGATTGCTGCGAGTAGCAGGATTCGATTATTCATAGGAAGACCAAATTTCAAAGCTTTCGAAAAATATAAATAAGAGAACACGTTGAAATTAATTTACTCAGCAGATAATAAAAGTAGCTATCCGGTTGTTTCTATGTTAAATTTTCCATTCTGCCTTTACACTTATTATTAAATAAATTATTTACTTTTTTTCTGAACCTTGCCTTTATAATAATTTATAATAATAATTTAGCTATATAGTGTGTTACTATTGAACTTTCATGTATGTATTTTATCTAGGGATAGTTTCAGTTACCGTTTAATTTAAAGTAACATCTGAGACTAATTGAATAAAATTCATTGATCTTTTTAATGGTTATATTCAACTGATTGTTTTCAAATTCTATTCTACAACTATAACAGTTCTTTTTGGACCTGAGAATTCTGAATGTAATAAATTATAAAAGCAATTAAAAGCAATTAAAAAAGTATTAAAAAACACGCTATTAAAATCGGCAAATAAAAACCAAGAAAATTGTTGGAAAAGGAGTTATGATGGGAAATAATTTAAAAATCAAATATGCAACCAAAGAGGATAGAGTATCTGGAAATGCATAGGAAAAGGGAGAAAACTGTTGTATGCAAAAAAATGTTGTGGTGCTCTATGGAAAATCCCAACCTCAGTTGAAGAAGAAAAACAACACAAAAGTCAGTCAACTTTTAAAATGAAAGCTAAGCTTGAACAGTTTAATAAGTAATTGCATACCTTAAGAAGAATGTATTTTTGTGTCCTAAGACAAAGCTCGGAACGCACTTAAAGCAAACACTGTGCTTAAGATAAAAGGAAAGTAGTGGCCTTCCTACAAATGCAATCAATTAACAAATTGTGATAAGTTCGTAGATACAACTATACAGTTCTTTGCATGAGGCTCACCTGTTTCGTTATATACCTATGTATGTTTTTATTTGATTCCAATGTACAAACAACATTCATCAACTGCGCCGAATTGCAGCTGACGGCGGTAAACAAATTAAAAGTCGCTTCAAAAGTGGCAACAACAAAAAATGAAATGCAAATAACGCTCCAGAATTGCGAGACTCACTCAACGCCAGACCTGTCTAGAGAAAAAGACCGAGTCGAAACGAATTTGAGAATCAAATGGTGGGCCAACTCTTGAAACTAAGTACGAGTATTTCGCGACTCTTGAAATAACTTCACTTCCGTTTTTGGTGACTGCCTCGGCAATTGCAATATGGACGGACGACAGCATGTGGTGTGGCGTCTTCCTTCGTTCACGATGCGCAACCACAATTCTTGCCAAGATGCCGCTTCGCCAACTTTTGCCTCCTCTGCGCCCGGCAACGTCGCGTCGTGGCAACATATGGAGCCACAATTTTTGGTTTGTTAATCGTTGCATTGCCGCCATTTTGCCGTATTTATATCTGGCTTGTCTGCCTCTTCACATGCGCTCTGTTGGCTTTTAATAAAACTTACATAAGTATTTGCCTTGGCCTTGTTAGAGAGAAAAAAACTAACTGCCAACCATTAGTTGCGGCTGTCTATCTCCAACTTCGACATCACCGAGCTCCTCCATCTCGCCAACTTGGCTCTTATGTGGCAGCTGTTGGCCCGCCAAACTTGTTAATGAGTTTGCCTAGAGTGTGGAGTGATGGAGGAGCTCTACACCTCAGAGCCTTCAACTTCAACTTGGCATTGAGCAGCAAATGTTGTAAATATGTTGTTGTTGTTTTTGTTGATGTTATTGGCATAGAATGCAGAATTCCCCCAAACTCCAACATAGTCGGCCTCGCCTCGCCTCTACTCGCCTGTCTGTCAATTGTCGCTGCCTGTCTGTTTATTTGTCAGTTTCGTCTGCATTTCTGATTTAGCTCTGACATATTTTGGCTGCCATTTTATAGTTGCAGCCGTCTGTCCCACTCCTGTCTACCCGTCTGTTGCTCGAACTTGAAACGTAATAATAACTACCATACGTATATTTTACTGCCGACAAAGCAACGTACAAATTTTTAACCTCCGGCTGTTTATTTGTTTGCCACGCCGTCTGGCATTTGCCATAAATTGTCATTTATGTCGCACAACACCGCCTCCACCCCCATCCACTTGTTGACCGGCACTCTTCTACTCGAATTTTCGATGGGAAACTATCAAATTTATTGGGATAGGTTCGACTGATGTTTTCGATCGACTGCCACGCCAAGCCACGCCACTCACGGGCCGAGCAATTATGTCAATAAAATGCCAAGTGTGCTTAGCAGAAAATATTTGTAAATATTTCAAATATGTGGCTTATATTTGTCCATGAAACAAAATACTGATTACTTTTTCCAGCCTGTTATTTCGTAGGACAACAATTTTGCAACTTTCTAAAACCTCACACATCTCCACTGTAACTTAAATTGCTTTATTCACAGCTGTAATTTAATTCGAGAAACTTCTTGATGCTTTTCAAGCTATCCCTAACTTTTAAGGATTTCTGTAATTTTATGGAACACAAAACAAAAGAACAAGCAAAAAGCTTACACTCGAATATTCCAAAATTCCATTTACACCAATCAAAACAAAAAAATAAATAAATCTACTTGCAAAGTTCCTCAACATGGCCTTAAATTTGATCAAAATCGGCTAGCTATATCATATACTCGCACATCTGTTATAGGAAGGATTGGTTTTACAAAGAATATCATAGTTAAATGGGTCGGATTTTAGGATTTTCAAAAGTCGAGCTGACAAAATGTTAATAAAACAGAAAAATAATAAATCATATTTGAACAACTTTTATGAAATATAAACTATTCCGATCTATACTATTATTTTCATATATTGATCGAATATTTACAAACATGGTCTTTTTTCCCATTTCGCTATTTAGAGACTACTACAATATAAATTTCTCACGTTTTTGAGAAACATCGCTTAGCATAATTTTTGATTGAAAACATAAATAAAAATTCGGAAATGCATAAAGGCGCAAGATAAATGAACTTGCTCTGTAATTTAATTTTCTTATTTGTAGTTTATAGCTTAAGATACATTTACAAACATTTCAACAGACGAACTTTCTTGCAATTTGAACTCTAGAGTACTTGCTTTTTGACAGCAATGAAAAATTTATATATACACGTACTCGTACGATATATATTAAACGTTTTGTATTGAAGAAGCAAAGAGGTATTATTTTCTATTTTAAGAAATGAAAACTGTTCTATTGGATAAAAGCGTTGTTTTGCAATTGAATTTCATTTTTCCTTTTTTATAGTTCAAAGGGGTTTTAAGGCACACAAGACGTTGAAATGCATGTACTTTTTAGTTATTTCAGCACGAGTTTTAAATGGACAGCTCTTTACTTTATTTTACAGCCAACTTTTGTGAAGTTGTGGCAGTCATTTAAGGTTTAACCATTCACACATGTCCTCACACACAAACACATGGGCCATACTTAAAGCTTTCAAATAGATGCCTGCCAACTGCAAAAATGGCAACTACAATGGTTACCTGACTGTGTAACACAGCCTGTCCAAAACAAACACTTTCACACACACACAGACATGCACAGACATGCACACAGACACATATATATAGTTACAGCTAAAGAGAGAGAGCCGGAATAGTTGACTCCGATGTTATGGCCAAGTTTGCTTGTTTCGCACATTGACCGTGACATGGCGCAGCGGTTGCTGCCACAGTTTTTGCCCCATAGAGGCCATTGCACGTGACGTCGTTCGTGTTGGTTGTGCGAATTGTTGTTGTTCTTGTTGTTCGCTATGCCTGACGCTTGACTTTCTTGCTCTAATGAAATGCGGTTACAAATGCAATTTTACATTTTTCAAAAGGCATTTTATCTGTCGACACCAGGCTGTTGTGTGTCCGTGTCGGTGTCGGTGTCTGAGTCTGCGTCTGCGTGGGGCTGAGTTGGAACGTGTCGGTATGGGCCGGGATAGACCAGAAGACCCTAGGTGAGCCAGCCAGCAGGCAGACTGCAGCAGTTGCATTATGTTTGGGACGTGCATGAGCGTGTCTGCTGAATGTTGCCCGTGGGCATTCGATGCGTTGCTCACTCAGTTTGTTTGCACCTTGTCAAAATTAGTGTTTGTCCAGAAATGAACACGATTTGTGGGGCCGACACAGGTGTTGAAAATGCACTGCACGTTCCCATAATGTTCCGTGTAATAAGCTCGACAAGAGCTTTACTCGAATCGCTAAGGTATTGTACCGTTTCTACATACATATATCCTGTGCTAGCCCCATTAACATTTCTTTTAAGTAGAAATTAATGCTAACCGATGTTATGATTATAGCTAAAAAAAAAAATAAAAGCAACATTACAAAAACTGTACGATATACTGTATGGAATTGCCTAACAAGCTGGGCATTTATACTTACAATTTAAACATAAAGACAGCATATATTTCTCATGATTTCACATTCCCCAGTAATAAATATGATATTCTAAAGTTATTTTATATTTCTGTTTGATCTGTTATTTTTCTGGTATACAAAAGCAGAAGATGGGAAAAGCACATTTATACACATAACCTTAAAAATAATTCTCTCCTGACAAGCTGGGTGCTCGGACACTCGAACTCGCACCCGTCGCTTCTCTCCTGACAAGCTCGGTGCTCGGACACTCAGGCTCTTGTACGACGCACAGTTAGAACTGCAAATCAGTGTTGTCGAGAGCGTCAAAAAACTAAGATCAGCATTTTGTAATATTTTTCCCTTAATCCCGAATTTGTACACAAAAGGGATCTCAAAAACAGCACTGCAACACTGTCGTAGCCATTCGCAACGACAGAGAGAGAGAGAGCGCGCTACTCTCTGAGGCGAATATCCATACATACACATACTTGAGAGTGGAGAATTGTGCCAAGTTGGAGTGGAGAATTGAGCCAACTTGGAGTGGAGAATTAATAATTGCGCAATAACTTCATAACTATGCTTTACCAAACCAATATGCGGCACACAAATTATAAAACGTCCATACATACATACATTAAACAAATGCATTTTTTCTATATATTTCAAATATGTATTCTATATACATACATATTCATTGTGGCGGTAAGATGTCTGAAAATATGAAGCCCAATTGTGCTGCTCTCAAACATGTTCCTGTGTATGTGCATACATATGTACATACATACATGTATACATGCATGCATACAATGCACGCGCACATTTATATTTATGTATTGTTATACAAGTTCATTAGTACGAATACATCAAAGAAAAATTAATAATTAATTTTTACTTACCCCTTACATAAAAAGTTTAAAGATCGGTCTGATTGCCATTTATGTATATATGTATTTACATGCTTCCACTTATAATTAATTTAATAAATGAACAAAACACTAAATCACTTTAATCACAACACCTTAAAAAAATGAAAAAAAATTGCGCGGTAGATAAATACACACACACGCATTGTGCAAAAAAACAACGCGGATAGCGCGACCATTGAAAGAAAACTAATCAGATCTTCGGCGCTGCACATGCACGCACGCATTAATGCTCTCTTTGGGATAAAAGTGAGAGCAATGAAACAAAGAAAGAAGGAAAATTAAATTAGATAAAAACAGTTTACACCCACACGCGCGTTGTGCAAAAAAACAAAGCGGATAGCGCGACCATTTAAAGAAAACTAATCAGATCTTCGGCGATGCACATGCACGCACTCACAAATACTCTCTTTGGAGATAAAAGTGAGAGCAAAGAAACAAAAAAAGAAGGCAAATCAAATTTATCTAATTTGATTTTTCGGCTGCCGAAATTGGCAAACGAAAATACTTGAGTGCCGGGCTTAGTACACCAAATTTCAATATGAATTTATAATTAATTGAATAAATGAACAAAACACTTTAATCACAACACCTTAAAAAAATGAAACAAAAAATTGCGCGGTTAGTAAATACACACACACGCATCGAGCAAAATAAGGCGCGCGGCACGCTCAACCGGTCAAAGAAAACTAATCCGATCTTGGGTGCTGCACATGCACACACTCACAAATGCTCTCTTTGGAAATAAACGTGAGAGCAAAGAAACAAAAAAAGAAGGCAAATCAAATTTATCTAATTTGATTTTTCGGCTGCCGAAATTGGCAAACGAAAATACTTGAGTGCCGGGCTTAGTACACCAAATTTCAATATGAATTTGTAATTAATTTAATAAATTCACAAAACACTTTAATCACAACACCTTAAAAAAATGAACCAAAAAAAATTGCGCGGTTAATAAATACACACACACGCATCGAGCAAAAAAAAGCGCGCGGCACGCTCAATCGGTCAAAGAAAACTAATCCGATCTTGGGTGCTGCACATGCACACACTCACAAATGCTCTCTTTGGAAATAAACGTGAGAGCAAAGAAACAAAAAAAAGAAGGCAAATCAAATTTATCTAATTTGATTTTTCGGCTGCCGAAATTGGCAAACGAAAATACAGGTGTGCCGGTGTACACCAAATTTCAATATGAATTTGTAATTAATTGAATAAATGAACAAAACACTTTAATGACACCTTAAAAAAAATGAAACAAAAAATTGCGCGGTTAATAAATACACACACACGCATCGAGCAAAAAAAAGCGCGCGGTACGCTCAACCGTTCAAAGAAAACTAATCCTATCTTCGGCGCTTCACTTGCACACACTCACAAATGCAAAGCAAAGAAACAAAAGAAGGCAACTCACGTTTATCTAATTTGATTTTTCGGCTGCCGAAATTGGCAAACGAAAATACATGGGGCCGGTGTAACGGCCTAGTACACAAAATGTAATAAATGGACAAAACACTTTAAACACAACACCTTAAACAAATGAAACAAAAATTGCGCGGTAAATAAATAAATGCACACACGCATTGTGCAAAAAAACGACGCAGCCTGCGCGACCATTGAAAGAAAACTAATTAGATCTTAGGCGCAGCACATGCACGCATTCACAAATGCTCTTTAAATACCGCAAAAATAAATCGATGCATCGATGTTTCGTCGCGACTTATCGAAGTACAATCGATGGCACTCGACGATAGATCGATTGCGTGAAACATCGATGTTTTGTACTTTCTTTACAAACCTAGTTATAATACAATTTGAATCGAATAAGAAATGTGTTTTTAAGGACAGCTGTGCTCATGTTAAGCCACCAAGCAGTGCTGTTGCCATAATTCCACTGCTTGTACAAGCCAATCCAATTTGAACTAAGGCAACTGCTTGTACAAGCCAATGAAAAGCGAACTAAAATATTGTTAGTAATAAAAGAAATGCGATTTAACCAAGTTTATTCAAATGCCCAAACAGAACAGAATACAATTTAATAATTAATAATCAACTACCGTAACCTTCCTTGCTTTCAGAACTAGCGCATACAAATCATATTGGATTATCAGCCTCAGCTGACAACTTCGAAGCACTTCTGCACCAAACTGAGGAAAGCCTCTGCGATGGCGGCCAGGCCATTGGCCAGCTTGTTCTCATGGATATAGCGGCATAGGAAGATGATCACCAGGACAACGAAGGAGGGCAGAGCAATAGTCATGCAGAGACGTGCCACCAAAACGATCGTATAGCAGACGATAATGAAGAACAGCATCAGGGCTATGATGCGAGTCATATCTATGGACATGATATCGTGTTCCTTGCTCCAATCGCGCACTCTGTCCAGGAAGGGAAATTCACTAGAGGCCTCATGGTTAGTACTGAACATCTTATACAAATCGGAGAGAATTTTTTAACTAACAAATTTTATAATCGAAACTAAAAACTACTATTTACTAAAACATTTGCGAGCGAACTTGACTGCTGACAGTTGACTGGGAGGGGAAACCCACAGCCTGCCTGTTCAACACAATGCTGAATTATTGAAAGGCAAATGACGCATAAATGCGAGCATAAAAAGCCAAGCCAGACGCTGCGAAATCTAAATGGCGCACTTGATGTCAGGAGCAGAGCACAAGGAGCAGAGAGTGCCATTGATGGCTGTAAACCGCGGACTCAGTTGCCTGACAAGTTGACAAATGAATGATCGGAGCGCCGCAAAGCGGTCGACCTCAGACATGCTGATGATGATGATGATGATGCTGCTGATGGCCATGAAGCGACAAACCGCAGCAGCCGGAGAATGGACGGACCAGCAGACCAGAAAAGGGACAAACAAAGTGGACAAAACTGCCGATTATCAAGTGGGAAGCTGGCGACCCTGTTATTGCATTGCCGTTTGTGTCTGTGCATAAATTCCATCATATGATATCAATTAGTGATAGTGTGCAGCATTCGGACTCCAGCTCCGGCTCTGAATGCGAGTCCGAGTCCACAACTACGGTGACTGCAGTCGAAGCGATGGCACAAAATGTCATTTGCAAAAATGCGCATATTTTAAACGAGAGACACGCGAAGGCACAACATTCAGCATGATGATACGTATATCGGATCGGATGCTCTGGCCATAAAAACCAAACAGAAAAATCGTGAAATGACTGCCTGCACCGTGGTCACACATAAAAATCAGTCTGGTCAACAGAAACAGCAACAACTACAACCACTATGCTACACTGCTAAAAAATAAACCACGGAAATTTCAATATTTAACTGTTTTAACCACCGATTTTGCACCATCGTGTGTTTTAGTAAATAAAAATATTAAAATATTAAAATATTAACATATTAAAATATTAAAATATTAAAATATTAAAAGAAAAAGATGAAAAGAAAAGAGGAAAAGAGGAAAAGAGGAAAAGAGGAAAAGAGGAAAAGAGGAAAAGAGGAAAGAGAAAAAAAAAAAAAAAAAAAGAAAAAGGAAAGAGGAAAAGAGGAAAAGAGGAAAAGAAAAAGAGGAAAAGAGGAAAAGAGGAAAAGAGGAAAAGAGGAAAAGAGGAAAAGAGGAAAAGAGGAAAAGAGGAAAAGAGGAAAAGAGGAAAAGAGGAAAAGAGGAAAAGAGGAAAAGAGGAAAAGAGGAAAAGAGGAAAAGAGGAAAAGAGGAAAAGAGGAAAAGAGGAAAAGAGGAAAAGAGAAAAGAGGAAAAGAGGAAAAGAGGAAAAGAGGAAAAGAGGAAAAGAGAAAAGAGGAAAAGAGGAAAAAATGGAAAGCGGAATATTCAAATGAGTGTAAAATAAATAGAAGAGTAAAAGTTATTAAACATAATATTAAAATATTAAAATATTAAAATATTAAAATATTAAAATATTAAAATATTAAAATATTAAAATATTAAAATATTAAATTATTAAAATATTAAAATATTAAAATATTAATTAAAATATTAAAATATTAAAATATTAAATTATTAAAATATTAAAATATTAAAATATTAAAATATTAAAATATTAAAATAATAAAATATTAAAATATTAAATTTATAGTGTGACGCTATTAAATCACAAGTGATGATGTGGAGACGAGGGATTGATTCATGCCAAAGGTTTATTTTTTATAATTATAAAATATTTTTTCCACTTTGTGTCTACTCTACTGTTTTTTTTTTAACTCTTTTTAATATTGATATTTAATATATCTCTATATATTTTTTTTTTTTCTATAGAACCATTTTTATTTAATATGGTTCAACATTAAATTTAATAACGAGGTTTTACACTTTGGTTTGAATTTGTTTCAGTTTAAAATCACTAAGTGAATATGTCTTTATTAAAAGTGACGATGTGTATATTTGATTTGAATATATAATGAATTGAAATACAAGGTGATCATTAAATTTCACATGAAAATATTCATTCATGCAACTTTTTTATCAGTGTACTACTACAGTGCCAGAGCATGACGTATGAATATGCAATGCTGCAATTGATGATGATGGCCAAGGGAAGAGATAATGGTGGCTGCTGGTGGCAGCGCTGGGGACGTCAACGACGTTAGGCGGAAATGTGGCATGCAACGGATATACATACAGGTATGAGTACTATCTCCAACAGACGCACGCTTCAACAGACAAATGGACAACGTTACATACTATACGAGTACTCGTTTATACATGCCTACTTGTACACTGGAAAATTGATTTTTATTTTATTTTATTTTTTATTTATTTATATTTATGTGAGCATAAATTGACTGTCGACATGGGAGGACAATATACAAAAATTACAAAAATAATGTTATAAGCTAGAAAAGCCCAAGTAGGAGAAATCTCAAATAAAATTACAATAATATCTAATTAACGTCTCCCACCCGATGGGGGAATATTACACATTACCGGTATTAAGAAAAGGAAAACCTAACAGAGAGGAAAAACTTAGAATTAATGAATTTCACATTGTTTTAAAACATCAGAATGTAAGACTCAATATCACTGCTAAATGAAGTGCATCCGATTTAAAATTTAATACTTGTTGAAATAAATTATTTTTTAAATTTTGTGAAAAATTAGACATTTATTTAAGTATTTCAAATCTAATTATTGGCTCTGAATACAATATTTTTCGAAATGCTAACCACTGATGTTTCTTGAAAAACTTTCATTATTTTAACGAATTGCAAATTAAAATAAAAAATAATAAATAATATAAAATATAAATTAAATATGAGCTGATAAGCAAAATACATGTTCCCATAAATTTTTTTAAAGGGATGATTAAGTTTTTAGTTTTGCTCTTTGAAGATATTGTTGCTTTAAATGTTTGCACTATATTTGACTCCAAGTGAGTTTCAATTTGTTTCAAAAATTTCATAAAATTACTAAATATGTTTAATGCAATTTTTTATTTTTTATTTATGTAAATTGAATAGCAGTGTACTTGCTGTTGGTGCCATAAATTCCACTATTCTTTTGGCCGCGTTGTTTGGTCTCTTACCTGATATTCGTGCGGGTCATCGGTGAAAATTGCATTTGCGCTTCCATTCCGTGGCTTCTTTTTGGCACCTGCCTGGAAATTAAATTTGTTCATTGCGCGAAAGTTAACAAAAACGCATTGGCTACAAGTGAATGGCTTATTGTTTGCATATTGAATGAAATTAGTCCCTCGAAATGGGCACAAATGCGAAATGTGCAAAGTTGCCAAAAGTTGTTGTCATCAGCGCCGATGTTGTGGTGTTCGCAGAATGTTCGGAATGTCACGCAGCTTTAACCGCACACATCTGGTGGACATATCAGTGGCTTTTCCATGTGAAAATAAATGATTAATAAATCGTATGAATACAATTGTTTGTTCAAGGAAATATACACAAATTTTATTAAGGAAAGGTAATCATCATTAAATTAAAGGCTGCATCGACACTTAGTCTTTAAAGGCACAACGAGACGAGAGCCGTCTAGCTGGCCTTTTGGCAAATAAAATCCCCCAATTGAGTCGAATTTGTTATTAAATATTTCTGCAATTTCTATAGGCTTTTTTTTCTTTAGTTTTATTTAGTTCAAGTTCTCTATTTTTTTTAACATCGCTAAACAAATGTCGATGAAATAAAGATGAATAATTTTTGTTTAAATAAATATACACTTACATACTTTGTGACTAGTACATTAATTTATAAGAAATCTTCTTGTCGTACTAGGAATTAATAAAGTAAATAAATAAAAAAAATACTAGTATATTCATGTCCTGGAGAATAACTCTAGTTCTACCAAATCAAACTTTATTCAACAGAAATAATTAACCAGACTACTTGGAAATTGTTCTTCAAGCTTTTTGAACGCCTGCGACTTCTGAGATGCTGATAATTCTGTACTAGTATCTCAAGCTAGGATTAAAGCTGATTAATCTGATTAAAATTATCTTACATCTATGTATAAATAATTATTATTATTTGGCATAAACAACGCTATTGGTTGATGTATGTGATGTATAAATAATATAAGTAATAATAATTGAATATGCAGCGAAATTAATACAGAACAATCTAAATAATAATTCCAAAATATTTGAATATTTAAATTATTTTAAATTGGAAGTAATCTTAATTCGAATGTTAATTTATAATCAGAGTAATAACGGCTAGTTGGTGTATAATATATATTTTATTTTATTAAGAGATAAGTTTTACGAATGCTTTAATATAAATCGAGTTGGTTTTATGAAAGTCCATTGATTTTTGACGAATTCGCAGAATTGAACTACAAGGTTGGATCTACGTGTATTGCATTATGGAGAAAGCGGCGATAATTTTTATTTTTATTTTATTTTATTTTATTGAATAAATATTCAGACGTAAGTTTTGTCTGAATTTTGTGCAGACAATTGAAGATGTTTTATTTATTCTGATTGGGTTTTTAAGACTGTTTTAGTGCTTAAAAAAAATGAGGTTGTTTACGTCCTTCTTATTGTTGGTGTTCTGCAACAATAATGGGGCTTTATTTATTATTTCTTTGCCCATGTGCTTGGGGCCAATACTCCATAATATAATACATAATTCTACAGTAAGTATATGTATGTACATGTGTATATACAATTGAATTTTCCCATTCAACATCTGTCTGTGCTCGATTCCTAAAAAACTTTACACATGTCTCACTAAATTAACGCTTCGGCAAAAAAGTAAAAAGGACAAATAAAATCCCGTCTGAATTATTACAAAATGTTCACCTTGTCCATTGTTGTTGTTGCATTGTTGTTACCTGAGCCGGTCATAGGCAGAAAAAAACGGTCTCCATTAGCCCGCTGTTGACCTTTGGCTGTAACATTTGTGGCGGCATATTTTGCAGCTCATGTGGCAGACGGCCGGACGGGCTGCAACCGAGCTGCGATGCTGGCGGCGCTGGCTGGCCATAAAAACAGTTTTGCTTCGTTAAACATTTTCTAGTGTGTATTTCTATTTTTATGTGGCCACGAATTGGACC